TGTTTTGTTTTTGTAGTTGGTGTAGTAACGGGAAACTACAGGGGAAGTGAAATTGCAGTCTTGCAATCACACTAGCCATTCAGAATTCACCACATGTGGCGTTTCTTGGGACACGCGTTTCTACTTGGTTTCAGCGGTGTTTTTGTTGCCTTTGCTATGTAGCAGTTACTCCACGGACGTCTGCCGTTTCAAGCTGGGTCCCTTCAGTTCACGTTTACGCCAGAAGATCGTCGAATATGGCACTTGGAACGGTGGACATGCGATCCGCGCGGCCGCCACGGTCTTAAGCGCGTTGAAACCACGGATGGTTCAAGCTTGTGGCAAGCTTGATGCCAAGAGTCCAGCACGGGTGTTTCCTCACCTCATAAACTATGCCCTCTCGTACCAATCTCAAAGTGGGAGAGTTTACCCATAAGCCCTTGCCAGCATGCTTGGGTGCCTCCCAGCCATCCGGTTCCTTAGGTGTTTACTCGTTCTTGGCGGTTTCAGTGGCAGCTTCCACTAAGCCACGAACAGTTCTCAACTGTTCGCAGGGGATCGCATGGGGAAGAGAGGGAGCCAAGGGCCCTGGCAGAAAAGCTTTCGCCAGGGACGGAGACGCAGCGCGGTGGCCAAGCCAAGTAGCCCCCCCGGGCACATCGCCATACGCGTGGCGTGGTATCTTTCTGGTTGCAACTAGACCCTTTCAGAGGCTGCGACCTACTCGAAAAGAGCTTGGAAAAACCGCTGTCTAGCAATCTAGCATACACCTTTGCAAAAGGGGCACTTGATTCACCTACAGCGTTGCCACTTGGGCGGCCGTGAATTCAGAAGCCTCGATCTTTAGTTGAATTATTGGATGTAACCCAGATATTTGGACTGAAGACGTACGCTAGGGGAGCCATGGGCAAATATTCAATGCCAATGTCACACAATGCAGAAGCAACGGCACTTTTTGCAGCGCTGTCAGTTCTTTCTGTGGCTTACGGTGGGGTGAAAGTTGTCATTGATGGTGATCCTCTTATTATTGGTGCCATCTCCTCCCGGTGTGCCCCTAGCTTGTTCGGCAAGGACAGGACCAATCGGCTCAACTTGTCCGGCGTTAGCCTTTGGTTCTGAGTAGGTAGACCCTGTCTTTGCACTTCGTGTTGGCTAGGGACTGCCCAAGGCACCTCAAACTTGTACTGCAAGTAGTTGAGACTCAGCACGTGAAGGAGGTCCCCTTGAGGGCGCCAAAGTTTTGCTGCCAAAGTTTTGCGGTGCAGCAAACCTTTGAAGCAAGTTTTCACAGGCCAATTCTGTGCATCATCTATGAACAAGTCTATCAGAACAGCTTGTGTCATAACCCACATGAGCAAAGTGTTGCCACCTCCAATTGCGCCAATGGTTGAAGGGCCACACTATTTGTGACATATGATATGTACATATATATATAATATTCTATGTGTCTCTTTATTCATCGTGCGTTGAGCCAACTGTCAGGTCGGCAGCAAGCAGAGCAGCAAGCAAAGCAGCAAACACAGCAAGCAGAGCAGTAAGCACAGCAGCGCAGCTGATGGTGCGGACGAGGCGCGGCGGGAGCTACACCCAGGTAAGTGAAGTTGAGTAAGGAACAGTAGTCCAAGCCACTTGTTGGAGTGCGGTTTGATTCCTTCATAATTTTCGGTAGATCCCTTTAGTACCAGGTTGTGATTTGTGACTTGGCTTGGACCAATGAAACCTCTCCCTGCCAAGCAGCCACCATTGGACAATCAGCTGGCTGCTCTTGTTTAGTAAACCTAGAGACCCTAGTTGATTCAATTTGGAAGACGAAGTCAATCACTGAGAAGGCTGAAGGGGGCTGGGTTTCATAATGTACTCAAGAGCTGAGGCCCAAGTTTTCAGCTACACTTCCACTGGGTCCACCCTGAAAACTGACATGGAGCCAGCGAAGTAACATGGAGCCCGCTTCTTGGGAGTTTCGCAAAGATCCTTCTGGCAGTGAATGTTGATAGGGACGGGCCACAAATGCCTATGTAAGTGATGTCCGCGAAATTGAACGGTCCCAATTAGGATTCGACCCATTTTTTTCCAAGTTGATTTGCATGCCTTCCACATGATATCGCACTGGAGGAATCGTCAAAGTTTAAGGCTAGCCTTGTGGATCTCCTTTTCCAGATTAGCGGACTATCCCACGCAATTCATGTAGGTAACAATATACATCTATACAAATAATTCATAATACATGTATATACATGTGTTGTATGTATACATACATATATTCATATATATATATATATACATGTGTATAAATACATGAATGAGTAAATCATACATATATATATATATATGTATGGATACCATATATGTATTATACAGCAACATGTTGGGATCTATTTGGAGGGCTGTGGGTGAATCTTTTCCGTAAGTTTGGTATGTCTTGGGACTCGAGTCACGCCAGGTGCGGTGAGCTCCCTGAGAGAGAGCTCCTGCCATCAGCGCTCCGTGGGTTTTCTGCAAGTCCCGTGGGGTTTTTGTCAGGGAAGCCACGCATTTTGGGGGCGGGTCCCAGCCATCCTTTTGGTCCCTGAGCTTGTTTTTTTTTTGGGGGGGTTCTTTCTCTCATTTTTGTTTGTGTTTGTTCTTTTCTCTCATTTTTTTGGTTTTCCGTTGCCTTTGCGATAGCGCGCGGTGTCTGTCCGACGCGATTTATTGGGGGGAGGGGGAGCAAGGCAGTGTGTTTGTACAAACACCGTTCTTAGTTGGTTTAGTGGTTGGATTTCATCATGTCACCCACTTAGAGTTCTTTTATGAGTTTTAGCAAGGGATCAGAAAACAGACAGCCCAGTGGCCCAGTGAAGCTTCATGTTTTTTCCATGGGTTTTTGAGCGGGGGAAGGAGCTTTGTCGTGTTTTGATGGGCCTCAGGATTTCCTGGTAATGGAGTTCGGCCAATGCTAAGATCAATATCAAGCCAATACACAAAAATATCTAGTCCAATTCTGGACCAATTTGAGACGAAATGGCGGAACACAAGTGCTTGAATTCTGCTTGAGATTGTTCCTTTGGGGATACGTTTTTGTTTGAAAAAGCTGCCATCCCAAAGCAACACTTGCAGCCACCACTTTGCGCCATGGGAATTCAGTCGAGCGTTTCACCTACCGGCCCAGTGCAAAGCACACTTTGCGCGAAAGGCCTCGGCTTTAACGCCGTTTTCCTTTTCACATCTGTGGCTGAGCGGAGCCGCCGCTTTCTGCGAACTTGCCACGGGTTGGGAAAATGGTCCTCGCATAGTACTATTCATGGGGTAGTACTGTGGATGGACGAAATCCATGTCGCACCACCAAAGAAACCCTCCAGGCTGGTTTCTGATGATTTCCTACCAACAAAGCATGGATTCCCTTGGTTTCAAAGCGGAAAGCGCAAGATTTCGTCCACCAGGTGGCTGGTCCCGGTTTTCGTGTTTCATCCATTCCAACATTCCGTCATATGGCTGTGGGTCAACACCATTGCATCCATTTTGGTTGGGATTGGTGAGTTCACCGCCCACTTTAGAGCCTATTTTGGTTGGATTTTTCATCGGAGGTTCACTGGGGGCTAACCGATTTGGGTCTTGAAAAGCCCATGGCATGTGGTCATTTCCCGGTCTGCGGCCTTGTGGCTCGCTGAACCACAAGGCCTCTCAGTTGCCAGGCTGGAACAGAAGTCGGAGATTTCTTGGGGGGTTGTCCGGACCTGGAGTCTCCTTCTGAGCCTTAAAAAATGGTTGGTCATTACCCTAAACAATGGGGTCATGGACCTATTTTTCAAGGGTCATGGTGACTCGGAGTTCTTCGTTCAGAGCACCCGTCGGCCCTCGATTTACCTTCTCAGAAAGGTCCCAGATCGAAGGCTTGGCAAATGGGAGGCATCATTGCAAGAGCTGCGCTAATGGTCTTAGAGCTGGCCTGCTCAGTGCTCCTGTCACCGGTTCATGTACCGCCTGGTGTCCCATCCAATGCCAGTGATTGGTCAGTTTTTCCTCCAAGCTCCGAAAACGAGCCTTTCAGTTTCTTGCCAGGCAGCAAAGTTCACGGTTTTTTGTTGGCTGGGACGACCCGTGAGAATTTAGCCTTGATGGCGACTGCCTTTAAGAGGAGGGCCCAAAGAAGTGCTTGCAGCGGTGAAAAGGACTCCGCTAGAAGCCGAAGGCCTGGAGTGAATCCCCTCGGACGTCGCGAGAACGCATTGGTTGAACCATGTGGGCGAAGGTTGAACACCGAGCCAGATCAATAGTTAGTTGATTTGCAACACCCAACCAAATCAATAGTTGCTGGGGACTGGCTGATGGGTTTTGAGTTGATTTGCACCTGGGCACTTGCTGCTTGGTTTGTTTCCTTACTGAGACCTCCTTTTCCTGCCTGACAGTTTGTCCGGGTTCGTGGCTCATTGACTCATCTCCGTGGTCTGCCAGACTCAATGACTCATCTCCGCAGCTACCGAGGTATGTTTGTGGTTGGCTCCCGGTCCAGTTGTGAAGGGGTGCCAATGCCCAAAGATGCTGCGTTTCGGCCGCTGGCTCAAGGCCCGACGGGCAATGCCGACGACGGCCTAGGCTTTCAGACTGGGTCGCCTTCTGCTTTTTTCACCCAAAGCGGGGTCCCCGGCTGATCTCAGGCCCCTCTCAGGGGATCTGCTTTAGCCTGCAAGCTTCCCTACTGCGAGCGACTCCTCAGCATTCTTTCCTTGAATACTCGGCTTGACGACTCCGGAGCTGTGCCGGGTCTTCTCTAGTGCCTGTGGTGTGTGTGTATGCTCAGCTGCTTGGAGCTTTGCTCATTCCGTTCGCAAGGTACAGAAGTTGATGCCTAGAGTCTCCTTCTGACCCTTTAAAAATGGGTCCATGACCAACCATTATTTTGGGTAATGACCAACCATTTTTAAAGGGTTGTCCAAGCAAAACGGCCTGGGATAAGCATTTTATGACATGTTCGGCACAAGCTTGAGGCCCTTGGACCACGCAAGCACCCGCTTTTCCGGGCACCGGGCGAGTTGCGAGTTGGGTGAAGCTGAAGACTCACGACTGATATGGCCACGGGCTTTTCAAAACCCAAATCGGTTAGCCCCCAGTGAACATCCGATTCAATCCCCCACTAAAATAGGTTCTACAATGGGTGATGAATTCACCTACCAACCAAAAATGGATCCCACTGGTGACCCACAACCATATGGGTGTGGCTAAAATTTAAGAGTTTGGGTACAGGTTTGAGTCTACTTTTCCATGTACCAGGGTTCCATTTTGGGCCCCTATTTTTCAGCCACACCCATATGCTGAACTAGTTGAAGTTGAAGTGTGTTTCATTTCTCAGACGTTGAAGCGAACTACACATCCAGTTCTAAAGCCACGGTTTTTGCACACCCATGTGCACAAGTAGCGCGCGTCATGTTCCTTTGTTGAACACGTGAATTTCGAATGCGGGTGCATAAGCGAGGTGGCTGCGGGAACCACGAGATGTCCAAGGGCTTGGGTTATGGACCCCATTAATGGCAACGGTTTCTGTTGGTTTTCCTTGAAATACCAACCAAAAGGGCCCCCCAAAAATAAGGCACCCGTGTGACGAAACTTAGGGATGGGATGGAGTACGTCACTGTCAATGCGGCTTATTCAGTTCCAAACTAATACAGCGCTTCAATTCTATTGTTTGATTCCCCATTCTCTTCACCCATCATTCTCTTTAGAAACCACCTATTTTCCAGGCGAGCGGCGGTTTTTTTACCCGGAAGCTAATTTAGTGGGGAGAGGGACATTATTATTGAAAATGTGCGCCGCGCCACACGCGCGGAAGCATGCGGAAGGCTCGCGGAAGAGATTTGTTCGCGGAAGGTTTGCGGAAGCTTGGTGGCTGATATACAACTAAGTGTTTCAGTGCATGCATGGAAAAGCTCGGAGAAACAATTCCAGTAGAAGAAAAGGTGTTGCTGCGTACAAGAAACGTAACGCTTACTCGAAGAGCAGATGCCAACAGCAGCCAAGAAGGCCAAAACAGCCGGCGTACTTCGCGGAAGGTTTGCGGAAGCTTCGCGGAAGCTTCGCGGAAGCTCCGCGGAAGGGTGGCCCCGTGTTTGCAGGCAAGCGGCCAAGTAGCATGGGTAGCCCAATGGAGCCCAAGCCTACACAAGCTGCGGCGGAACACTACCTCACTTAAAATGACTTTCCTTCCTGCGCCAATGCTCGCGGAAGCGAAACTTGTATACCATGCCCCGCGGAAGGTTTGCGGAAGCAAACAATGAAACACATGTGCCGCGGAAGTTCGCGGAAGGGACCTCTTGGCCCGCGGCAAGGATGCGGAAGGGCCCGCGGAAGCTTGAATAATGTCCAAGCAAGTTTGTAGGGAATAAAAACCAACGCTCAGGTGTTTGGTCCATTTTTTGAAGAGAAGTGAGAATGGAGAGGACAACTAGATCAATTGATGTTCCATCACTGGCTGTAGATCGCGGCCTTTGGAATCGCCGCGTGCGACCAGCGGTTGGCATAAAACACGAGCCACGCAAGACACTCACCCGGAAAACTTCGACAAGGCAGAGTCGTTTGAGGTTTGGAATTCTCCCGTGTCAGGATCGGCCCATATGTTTGCTTTCCTTCTGGTTGTTTGTTTTTCTCTTCCTAAATTGATTGCCCCAAGCTGGTTTTGACACATTCTCTTGTCTTGTATTTGAGGCCCCCTTCCGGTGCCAAGCAAAAACCACATCTACCAGGAGTCTCCTTCTGACCCTTTAAAATCGGTCCATGACCAACCATAATTTAGGGTAGTCTGACCAACCATTTTTAAAGGGTCAGAAGGAGACTCCAGCTATGCCACAGGTCCTTTGGCTTCCTGAATTGATGTTGGTTTTGACACATTCCCCTTGCTGTGTCTTGTATTTGAGGCCCCCCTTCCGGTGGTGCCAAGAAAACAAACACATCTATTAGTCTATGCCTCACACGCCTTGCCCCGGCGCAAGCCGCACGTTTGCTGAGGAATTCTGAGGGCGCTGAGCCATCTCCGAACGGAGATCTCCGGCCGGGGGGGCCAAGCTTTTTGGACTACCCCGGCCGATCGTTGAAAAGGAAGAAACCTGGAGCTTCTCAATTTGCGTTTCAGAAAAAAAACAAAAAAAAATCCCCGGTGGGTTTTAAAGGGAATTGATTTCGCTACTCTTTTTTCCCAGGGGTCTTAACCAAAGAGGTTCTCAATTCTGCAGATTGGGCCTCCAAGAACCTGGAAGCTGACAGAATGATTACCCTCCCTCCCACCAACATAGCACCTCGCAGAGGTTCCTTTAAAAGGAAGCTGATCTTCCAAGTACCGTCCCACAGGTGCTATGTTTTGTTGGAGGAAGGGTACTACCTGCAGGCAGAATAATTACTACCTGCAGACTCTTTGCTCGAGTATCAGCGGGCACCCAGAGACCCCTGGCAATTCCATCACATGCACTTGACAAACACCAGAGCGCAACCTAAATTGCTTGCTTGTGATTTCACAACTTCCATTTGCTTAAGTTATTAATAAGATTGTTGATTTTC